TCTAATTAATTGTTTGGCAGCATTTTCTGGCATGTACTGAATTGTACCACTTGGTGTCAGTAGAAACAAGTTACAAATCAATGATAATATCATTTTTTTTTATTAAATAAAAGTTAGGTTAAGTTAGGATGTTTACATGTGTGTGTGTATATTCTATATACATATATAGAACATTTATTTACTTATTTAAATCCCCCTGCTGTTTGTCTGTCTTTAGAGGCCAGCACCAGTAAGATGTTTGAGGGTTTCCCCAGCGAGTTTATGAAAGTTCTGACCCAAGAACCTCTGACTGGCAACTTTCACCACTATGGAGTTACAGTAAAGGTACACTAAATCCCTCTACTGACCATATTCATCGTACTGTATGCTTTGCTTCCCCTCAGGGATTTTGTCTTGTTATGGTGCTGAGAAATAAGATCAGAGACAATCAAGACATGTATTTTCCAGGGTTTCTGTCAGACAGGACTGAAACTTCTGACTCAACCTCAGTGAGACATAAAGTACAGTTAGTTCATGTTAATTTGATTAATTAATAATTTAAGTCTCAGCTGATATGAATCTTATATATTGTATATTTGTCATTTAATTTTTGGTGTTTAATCATATTACCCACATAGAATAACTTATTTAATATCTCAGAAAACAAGGAAGTCTGTACCACGTGGTACGAGAAATATGTTTTTTGTCCCTGCAGCTGTCCCAGCACATTAATCAGTCGCTTAAGGGCCCAGTTATGCTAACATTTTAGGGGATTTTTTTTTTGGCAGAAATGGAATATAATTAAATAAAAGAATCTTACTTAATTGATACCAGAATCAAAAGAAAGCACAAGAATGTTTTTTTATAGATAAATAACAATAAAAACATAGATTAACATTTACAATATGGAGCATTAAAATATATTTAAAGGTATTCTTAAATAAAAACTACCAATAAATAAATGTTCTTACAGACCTTCCAGGAAAATGAGAAGCTGCAGAGTTTCTTCTCCATCCTGTCTACAAACGTCGCTGAGAACGGAGCCCACTTTGTCTCAACCATAGAAGGTAACAAGCTTGTTTTTTTTATTATTATTTATTTAATCATTGCTCTGTAACAGAGTTGTAATAAAAACAATACATATTCATTGGTTTTACCAGGTAAAAGATATCCCTTCTATGGAACACAGTGGCACCCAGAGGTGAACCGTTTTCAGTGGGACAGAAAGCGGAACTTTCCTCACTCTGCTCATGCTGTTCAGTTATCTTCTCTGCTGGCTCAGTTTTTTGTTGAAGAAGGTAGGACACACATTATCAATAATAATAATTACTGATAGTATATATTAAGTATTAAGTATGGTTGTGGGATATGAAGATACAGACTGTGAGGCAGCTTTTCCCTGAATAAATATTCATTATATCTTGTATCAGACCATAGTGGGTAGTAGCTCGTCAATGAGTCAGACTGATTATGTTAATACTGGACTTAGGAGGTTTGCATCAATGTGATGTTTCAGGTACTATATACACTGGATTAGAGACACAAACACTCATGCACTGCTGTTTATTTTACTTATAAAAAGTTTCTCAATTGAATTTTCATAAAGTGTTCTATATCACAATCTATACTGATCGACTGAAGACTTTATCCATTTTGACCAACCCTGGCACTGACAAGAGCCATTTCTCACAGGGTTGATATTTAGGATAACATGGTATACAGTATTAAATGGACTCTGCTAACTGAAATATATACTGATACACATTTAAAATGACCTAAAACTTCATTCCTGGGCGTACATTCAGGGGTATTGTGAGTGGGAAAATTCCAATTTATTAAAGAAAGTCCCATTATTGTAATTGTAATTATTGTAATTAATCCAGGTGTTGGTCTATTGAACAAAATAATGATAAAAAGACATGAAAAAGAAAAATGGAAATTCTTTTAGTTTTTATTGGTTATATCATACAGACGTTGCCTCTTTGTCTGTGTTATGCACATGGCGGTTTTAAAAAGAGAAAGAGCAAAAACTGCATTGTGACAGGCTAATGATGTATATGGTGAGATGTTTTGTTTGCTATTTATGCTTTCTAGAAATATATTATTCTTACATTATTATTCCACCATTATGATGCAGTACTTGATGGTTTGAGGTAGTTTTTGTATTTCTAAAGAGTTTCTCAATTGATTTTCATTTTTAGAATATTTATTAATCAAGGATCAAGGAATTTCTTTATACACACAGGTTTTACACACAATGTCAGATATATTACTAATTAATTATATTAATTCACACCAGAGACACAAAGAGGATAATTATTCAGCTTCGATAGACAGAGAGAGATTTAACATGAATACAATGAGGTTTTAAAACAGACCAAATTTAAGAGCTGTTGGGAAATAACTTATTAATTATCCAGTTATGCTCAAAATATACGAATTCATTAAAATTCAACTAATTATGTTTTACCCAATTTCCCCCATAGAGATAATCATCTATTATGTTGTATTCTATTGTTCTCTTTGTATCCATGTTCTCCTTTTGCTTTGTTTGGAAGGAGAAGTTTACATCAGCTTTGACAATCCTGAGGAGGGCCCATCATGATTTTAACTACACATGTTACGCTGCAACTTCACAGGATATGAACAGCTCTACTTATTCTGAGTTGTCTTCCAGCCCCCGGCCTCTAAACAAAGGTTGTTTCAACACTGTGTCTGATCAGAGGATGAGGAGGGTTTCTGGACGCGGCTTGATGTTTTACTAATACTATTGTACATGCTTGTTGCTATAAATGTTTTTGCATTAATAAATCGGCTTTGTTGTATTTTAAAAGCCTTTTGTTATCAGGATCTGGATGGACTTCTTAAGTGAAAGGCAGTGTATGGGTGTGTTTTTAGGGGTTCATTTTTTTTTTTTTTTTTTTTTTTTTTTTTTTTTTTTTTTTTTTTTTTTTTTTTTTTTTTTTTTTTTTTACATTCTGTGCATTAATAACCTCAAGGAATTTTATTCTGTAATTAACACCAAATAATGGTTGATTACATTTAAGGCTGGTTCAGGATTATTTATTCTATATTTATTTATATTTTAGAATCAATATTCACATTTGATACTGTAGGCCAATTAAAGAACTGATGTGACACCCTCACCACAAGGTCAATTAGAAGCTGGTTCTGGGCTTGCAATCATACCAATGGTTTATCAGCGATGGAGTTGATATGGAATCACTAATATATTTAAATGTAATTTTTTGAGGTCGATTTCTATTCAGGACTTTATTTTGGTCAAGTTGACAAAGGGGCTCCGACATCAAGGGTCCAAAAGCCTCAGGTTTATTCATGGGGCCATATTAGTATGTGGTATTGAATTTATTTGTTGTGTTTGCCCCACTAAAGCTCAATATGATGCAATATAAATGCCTAACTGACATTATCAAAAGGGGGCCCACAGTACAATTAAACATTTCAATTTTAAATGAGCAGGGATGTTGACCTTGGAAAACCAGTGTTACCCAAAAATGAATATTTTTTGGGCCGTTCATTGCTTCACAGCCTTCATCAAAAAATAAATGTATCCATCTTCTGTCCCAACTGAGGAGACAATGAATGGTTGAGCTCGAAAATGAAGTTGAATTATTATTGAGTTATTACTTTACTAGCCCTTGTGGTGACCTAAATATATCATGCTATATGACAAAATGATATAATCGCCACTTTAAAGACGACATGATGATTATTTGCATTATTGATTAATGTTTTTTTCACTCATTCCGATGAATTAATTCAACTAAAAATTACTGTTGAAGTACTCGTTGTTTTGTTTGACCTTTCTATCAGGGACCAGCGTTAATTTTCAGCAGTGTCAGGCTACAGTGTTGTCTGTTGATCGGGCACACACTGGCCACTTCACTCCAATGTAGTGGCTTGGCATCATGACCTGTCTCGGTTCTTTCTTCCTTGGTCCTGACCACTGCAGACTGGGAACACCACAAGAGCTGCACCCACACACCTGTTTTGGATGATGCTCTGACCAGTTGTATTGCCATCATAATTTAGCCTTGTCAAAGTTGCCTAAAATACTTACGCTGCCATTTTCCTGTTTCTAACCACATTAACTTGCTGACAAATGTCGTTGTGACCTAATATATCCCCACGGACAGGAGCATGAATATATTCACTCTTGTCGTGGTCAGACTGTATTATCGCTGTTATAGGTGATCGGTGTATATTCCAGTTTGTTCCATACCCATTTTTTTAAGTTGATTCATATCATTATAAAATGTAACCCAAGCCCAAAATTAATTGGGCTACCATTTGTATCATATATTGATATAACATTTTTTTAACAGCATTGAATTTTGAGGTACATGTATGTAATAAGTTGCTTTAATGGAATAAAAACTGTAAGTTCAAATTGAAGTGGTAACACATTTTAAATAGTTTGGACAAGTGTGCATTTGAATGTAATTAGGCCTACCTTATTAATTTTAATAAATTAACTTTAATTTACTTTCAATAAAACATAAACAGTTACTTGTACTCAAATAATATTTTTTTAATGCTTAATTGTTGGAGTTAATATATTTGAACTAACCTCAGGGTTTTCCAGTGTGACCTAACAATGCATAAAAAGTGTGGAGGTCACAGGTTCAGGGGGAGGGGGTGATCCGCCTGTCAGACAGAGGACTTGTTCTATGACAATGTTTAACTCTTGGACTGATTGTGCTCTTAAGTAATTAGCCCGTTAGAGACATATTAGTAATAAGCGCACTAAATGTTGATTGAACGCTAGAAACACAAGCAGGCGTCACCAACACAGCGACCGGGCGATCCCGACGATTGCCCGCGCACGTCAGTGCGTCTGCGGGGGGCGGGAGCAGGGAAAATCGAGCCCGTGCTGCTCTATTCCTCCCCCTCTCTGTCACAACAGATTGCTGCTGCTGGGTCAGTGTTATTAATAATAAAAGAGTCAAAAAGCCACAGCGAGCAGAAATAGGGGGTGGAAATCTACATACTTTCTCCTTCTGTCAATCAGCACGGAATCAACCAGCGCGAAAACACAATGTGACAACCGCTTCAACTTTTCGACAACGCATTTCTTCCTCCTTTTTATTCGTCTTTTTTTTTTTTTTATATAGGAGCTATTGTGGTGGTTCCCTTTCCAGCTGCTGGCCGTCACTGGCTCTGTCAGCACTGCGTATTGCGGTCATCATCTGTCGGGCGGTGCGGCTTGATTGTAACACGAATCGGTCCCGCCGGCAAGGTCCTCTGGTGCACTTGTAATCTCCT